AAAAAAAAAAAAAAGATGAAAAACCTTGAATAACAGCGTCACAACAGGCAACCTCCATCTAACACCGTGGGACCTGTACAAAGTGTCACTACTGATACAGGAAATGCTCCTGATAGCTGAAAAAAATCATGATGTTACAAAGAAAAGGTGAATTGCTTGCTATGTATTGTGGATTAAGGTTGCAGTTGTGAATGATCATTTCAGACATACGATTCACTTTGTGAACAGATGACATAAACTTGTGATGTTGATAAATACAGTACTGTGAATATATTTTCTCTTCCTTATGATTTTCTTAATAACATGTTCTTCTCTCTAGCTTACTTTATTATATGAATATAGTATACAGTACATGGTGTGCCAAAAGTCTTCATATACAGGAAAAATTAACAAGTTCGCATAACAACAGATATCTTGGAATGTGTTCACTGTGAGTGGGAGAGAAAACTTTGTGTGTGTAGAAAGAGGTAGTCATTTTTAAATATTTTGTAAAATTTTGTAACACATATTTTGTAAATAAAGATCCATTTAGCTTACTAAAAGGGAGGCACTCAACCAACATAGATTTCACAGACCTCTAAGGCTTGTATGAAAGGTCTTTATTGGTAGGGGAGGGAGGCTGCAGAGCAGCACCGAGGAGGAGAGAAAAGAGGAGAGAGTGGAGAAGAGAAGAGAGAAAGAGAGAGAAGAGAGAGAAGGGAGAGGGGGAGAGAGAGAGAGGGAGGAGAAACATATCCTTATATAGGGAAGCTCAGAATGGTGATGGGATGGTGGAATAACCAATAAGGAGTTACTGCTTCATCGGGAAGAGCGTTAGGGGCAGGCAGCTGGTAATTGGAACAGGGTGATGAGGTAAGCGGGCCATTCCCTGTGCTTGGGAAGGAGTTGTAACTTTAAGAGCAGGAAGGGGCTTTCTGAGGCAATTATCTAACACTTACAATTTCCCATTTTCCTTATGTACAGCAACTTTTGGGGTACTGCACATACACCATACAAAGTATGTGTCTGTTGACTGCTGGGACCATTCCAGTCAACAGTAGGCTATTAGAAGTTAAATTGGGGGTCAGTCAAAAGTCTTATGCATCCCATCCCAGAAGCTGCAAACAAAAAGAAGAGAGAGTGAGAGAAAAGAAAAGAAAAATTTAAACAAACAAAAAAAAATTATATGCCACAGGGGTCCGTGCCCATAACCTCTGCCTTGTGCAAGAGTCAACAATAGAAGATCCAGAACCTCCCTCGAATATGTCATGTTAAGATGTGCTTTGGGTTTTTGCTTGTTTGTTTCTTTGCTTATTTCATTTAACCTGAAAGAAATAGGGAGCCAGTAGAATGTTGACAGAAAAGGGTGGACATAATCAGATTTTCCTTCCAATGATATCTCACTGTCTGCAATAGAGCAGGAGTGGCCCACCAGGAGGCAGCGGCAGCCCTAGGGTATCAAAAGTAGTGGGTTTGATGAATGTTGATTCTGTTCCTTCTGGTGCAAAGTTGTCCGCAACTGTGGGCTTCTCTTTACCCACAGGAGCGCCATCAGTGGCCAGGGCCACACTATCCTCCAGAACTCTCATGACACAGGACTTCTGTGCTGAGTAGAAAGTCCAAAGGCTTTCAGCTGTGACTTGCTTGGAGAAAATTAAGACACCATGACTCCCCAGAACCACCTCCCTAACTCTCTACCACCACCCCTCCAAAACCCTACAAACCTAAACCCAAGTCAACTTACCATTTTATTAAAATCATTGTGATGCAGGTTGAAAATCCCCATTTTGCAATCTCTTCTGTAGTAATTAATTCAGGTAAAAACTGTTAGCAGGGGCTAACAGGATTTTTATTTATGTTCTCTTCAAGTAGCTCTTTGCAAGGCACTTAACAGTGTCACAGGAAAGGAAGAACAGTAGCTTCAGAGTAGAGAAAATTGGCAGATACCACCCTAAATTAAATGACTGAAGTAGATCCTGGATTTTTTCTTTTGTAATGAGAGTCACCTAGGGCAACTGAGGAAGACTGAAATAGTCTTGCATCAGTGTTAATTTCCATCACTGCACCAAGATTGCCTAAGAAAATATTCCTGGTTTCAGGAAGCATACTGAAATATGTAGGGATAAAGAATGTACTTATAATGTCTGCAACTTACTCTCAAATGGTTCAGAGAAAAAATAGAGAAAGAGAGAGAGAGAGCGAAGCAAAGGTGATAAAATGTGATGAAGCTGATGAATCTGGTGAGAGCGTGCACTCAGAAACTCTTCACACTATTCTTACAACTTTTCTGGAAGCCTGACATCTGTCAAAATTAAAAGTTAAGAGAGCAAAGTTTGGGAAAACTATTTGGGGCTTTTTGTTTTGCTTTGCTTTGTTAGATAGCCTTCAGTTTTGATATTCAAGCAGGTTGTGCTCTGAATGCACAGCCTAGAGGGAGAAAGAGAGGCAGTTTCATAGTTCATGAACACAGTCACTCAATA